TAACAAAGACCTGGAAGAATTAACAGACCAACAGAGATGAACAATACAATAAGTGAAATGAAAAATACACTATAAGGAATCAGTAGCAGAATAACTGAGGCAGAAGAATGGGTCGGTGACCTGGAAGATAGAATGGTGGCAATCACTGCCATGGGTCACACATGAATAGTCAAAACTATGAGGCTATATCTGTGTTTTTCTTCTTTAACCTCAAATTGTATGCTTTTTCAGGATCAAATCATGTCTATTTTTCATGTACTTTTGTGTGTCCCAGGTGATGCTTTGCACATAGTATGCATAAATATTTGGATTAAATGAATTAAACAAAATTGAATATGAAATTATATGGTTCCTGAATGGTAAGAACTATTATAGTTCAGGAGAAGGAAAGGGGTGTGAACTAGAATATTTGGAATGGGAAAGTTGTTGTCAGTCACTTAACCAGTTGTATACACTACTTCTAAGACCAATGTGTAATCAGCCGTGCACATCTCCTTTATTTATCCAGACTCACTTACAAATATTTCTTTGTATTTGCCACGTGCCAGGCATTGAACTAGGTATTGGGCAGCAGGGATGAGTAAGACAGACAAAGGCCTCTGTCCTCATGAATCTTACAAATTATTGACAAGATAGAGCTTCAGGAGTGCTAGGTGCTGTGAAGGAAAGAGCAGGGAGGGGATAGAGACCGTGGTGTGAGGACGGGGTAGGCCCTTCTGGATGGGCAACTCAGCGAAGGGCTCTGAAAAGCTGACATGTGAGCAGGGATAAACGAGGGGACAGGTGAAATCTCATCAAGCTTTGGGAGAAGAGCATTCCACACAGAGGCAAATGTAGGGGTTCTGAGATGGGGAGCTAGTTTGGCAAGTCTGAGGGCCTGTCAGAAGACTTGTCACTGAAGTGTGTCTGTCTTGCTTTTCGATTTTACCTGTTACCTCTCGCTTCCACTATGACCAGCTACCCTGGACTAAGCTAACATCTGAAAATCCTCAGATGTTAGCTTAGTCCAGGGTAGCTGGTCATAGTGGAAGCGAGAGAGGTAACAGGTAAACAGGTAACAGGCATGATGGAGTAAAAGCACAGTCGATTGTGGGAAGGATGGGGGAGAAGCAGGAGACCCATTAGGGGTCAGTTGTGGTTGTCCATTCAGGAGATGCTGGTTTGGTCTAAGGTGGTAGCATTGGAAGTGGGGAGAGGTGGTTAGCTTCTGAATATGTTGTGAGGATAGCCAGCTGGATTTGCTGATGGATGGCAGTGAGAAGGAAAGAGGAATGAAGTTTGATTTCTAGTTTTTCGCTGCAGCAACTGTATGCATGGTGGCAGCATTCACTGAGAATAGAAAGACTGGGAAGGAGTGTATCTGGGTGCAAAGTAAAATGTTCGGTTTTGGTTATGTTATGTTCAGGATGCTCATTAGACATTGGGTGAGCAGGTAAGTAAGTGGGCTGTTGCATGTGGGAGAAGTCTGGAGCTCAAAGGAAGCCTAATGAACTGCACTTGCTAGAGAACAGGTGATATTCTGGGTCGGAGACCAGGTAAGATCCCCAGGAGAGCTAGTACAGGTGGAATGGGAGAGCGCCAAGGACTGAGCGCTGGGGTTGAGACTTGGAGAGGATCAGGAGGGGAAATAAAGTTGAAGGGAAACTAGGAGAGCCTGTTGTACTGGAAGCCATGTGAAGAAAACATTTCAAGCAGAGATCCACTGTGCCAGCATTGCTGAAAGCATTTATGCTGTGAGCAGTAGAAAGCCAGTTGTAATTTCAGGACCTGGTAGTCACCATTCTCTTTATACCACAAGAATTTACCACGTCTTTCTGAAAATGTTCTTAGGAATGGGTAGAGATTGTGACAGTTGATGTCTTCTGAATTATGGATTATGCCAGTGTTTCATCTTTTAAAATCTATTTCCTGTTTATTTGCTTGCAAATAACCCTTATATACAAAAAGATGTATAAAATGAAAGCTATTTCCAGTTATTTTATTGGTATTCCCTAGTTTGTATCTGGAGATTTCTCATATGTTATCAGCGCAAGGTGGTACTTGGGGACCTTATAATAAGTAGAGATTTCACAGAAGCAGACAGGGAATTATGCACATGGAAAATGGAATCTTCCTCTGGAAAAATGGGAGATTTTTTGTTAGAAGGACAATTCCAGTGGGAATGGCTTGTTTTGCCACGGCTGCCGCCGGTTCTGTCCTTCCTGGGTCCTCCTACCATCATCACTGACGTTCCCTCCCGTCTTTCTCTCTCTCTGGGCTCTACAGCGGCTGACTGCCTGCACACGGTGGGATGAGTGGAGGTCCTAGCGAGTGACCCTTTACCAGGACAGATTTCTGATACAGACTTCACCAAAATTTGTCTCAGACCCTTTTTTTTTTTTTTTTTTTTTTTTTTGCGGTACGCGGGCCTCTCACTGTTGTGGCCTCTACAGTTGCGGAGCAGAGGCTCCGGACGCGCAGGCTCAGCGGCCACGGCTCACGGGCCCAGCCGCTCCGCGGCATGTGGAGTCTTCCCATACCGGGGCACGAACCTGTATCCCCTGCATCGGCAGGCGGATTCTCAACCACTGCGCCACCAGCGAAGCCATGTCAGACTCTTTTCTGTTACCTCTAATCTTGCCTGCCTGTAACTAGGCATTTTGGTCTTTACCTTAATCTTTTAGAAAATCCTCAGATAATTTTGCTTTGCATGCCTGTTCTTATATCACTTTCCTTTTTCAAAGCCTTGCCTTTTCTTTGGGCTACCCCAAATTCTATAACCTGCCCCAAAGATAGTAGTATGTTCTCTGAGAGCTTCTGGAAAGAAATGGGATACATAGACCATCTCTGGGAATAACCAAGACGGTGCCAACACCAGCGTTCCCAGTTTTCTTTCTTTGTCACTTTTGGGCGCCAGCAGGTAAGGAAGAGCATTTCTTTTAGTCTTCAAATGTGATGGTTGCTTATTAAAACGGCAGCATGAACTTAGTCACAGGAGTGAGGACAGTGACAAGGTGAATTGCGGAGTTCCACACCATCATGATTTAGACTTGATTTCCTTGGCAGTGTCTCTCTCTGTTTGCCTCTCCCTGCACATAACAAGCCAGTCCCATATTTATTGTCTTACCAAGACTTGAATTATTTTTTTCCAAAAACCAATTTTTAGGCTTTGTTTCCTTACTAATTGTTTAAAAAATCCAAAAAAATCTAAAAAAGTAGAGCAAATGTATTTTAGCATCAATTCATTTATTCTATATTTTTCCTAAACAGTGGTCATTCAAACCAATATAACCCAAGATGTTTCTCTCATTCTCTATTTTTTCCTTAGAAAACTGCCTTATAAAAAAAAAAAGAAAACTGCCTTATAAATGGTTTAGGCAGGGTCTGAATCATAAACGGTTACATATGTGCATGCATACACATATGCATAATGTATACACACTTGCACATGCAATGCATGTAGACACATACTTGTTTCCTGTGCTTGATGAGAAATTGAGAAGTTGTCTTTTTGTTTTAGGTGAAGACTATTGTGTTACGGTCTATGAAGTAGAATGTTTACTTTCTTCATTTTAGCACTTTAAAGATAAAATTCTATATATATATATATTTTTTTAATAAATTAATTTTATTTATTTATTTTTGGCTGTGTTGGGTCTTCATTGCTGCGTGCAGGCTTTGTCTAGTTGCGGCGAGCGGGGGCTACTCTTCATTGCGGTGTGCGGGGCTTCTCATTGCGGTGGCTTCTCTTGTTGCAGAGCACGGGCTCTAGGCGCGCAGGCTTCAGTAGTTGTGGCGTGCAGGCTCTAGGGCGCAGGCTCAGTAGTTGTGGCGCACGGTCTTAGATGCTCCGCGGCATGTGGGATCTTCCTGGAACAGGGCTCGAACCCATGTCCCCTGCATTGGCAGGCGGATTCTTAACCACTGCGCCGCCAAGCAAGTCCCAAAATTCTATATTTTTAAAACTTGTATAGTTTTCTGATTGTTTACAAAAGGCCAATCTGTGTTTTTTTTTTTTTTTTTTGGCGGTACGCGGGCCTCTCACTGCTGTGGCCTCTCCCGTTGCAGAGCACAGGCTCCGGACGTGCAGGCTCAGCGGCCATGCCTCACGGACGGGCCCAGCCGCTCCGCGGCATGTGGGATCTTCCCAGACCGGGGCATGAACCCGTGTCCCCTGCATCGGCAGGTGGATTCTCAACCACTGCGCCACCAGGGAAGCCCCAATCTATGTTTTTAACCTCATTTGAAATTTTCCTTTGAAGATAGGCTGTAACTGGAAAATAATGATTTAATTTGGGAGACTTGTCTATGGTCACATATCTTTAACAGGACCCGAAAGTTAAGGAACTCATGAATGAAGCCACCCACACAGAAGAAACAACAATCTGTGAATTTGCATAATTTGTGGGTGCTGCATAAGTTAGTCATTTTTTGTCTCCCACATTGTTGCTTCTGTGCCTGTCAGGCTGTGCCTAAGAATAAACAGACTGTTCAAGAATTAACAAACCACATTTGTCATTGCCATGGCCTTGGAGATGCATCAGGAAGCTTCACGCTGGCTTCCAGAGTGAACCAGTCAACAGCCTGTACCTCCAGGGCAGCTTCCCATGTTTAAGTGGACTCATATTCTGTGCTCCAGTGGAAGGCTTTTAAATAAGTGTGGAAATGCGTTCAAGATGTAGATTGGGTAAAGACTGAGAAAAGCTTTTTGAGATTTTGAGACCTTTATGGAAAAGCAAAGAGGACATTCCCAAAGGATGAAAAATGTGTGCCTGATGGTTTTATTGTCATGTGAATAACCGGGAAATAAATGTCTTACTATTGGAGAAAGTTTGTCTGCACTTTCAAGTAGGAAATTGAATACAAAGGAATTGTTTTCACCCAGGCTATGAATGGTTTATATTTGCCACATTGTCATCTGTGGCTTCTGGAGTAGCCTAGTTGGTTAAGTAAACTGGCCACTGCCTTTTAACTCATGTGCCTGGAAAACATACTCATTTTTCTGTCTGTCCTTCAAACAGCACCCTGGTGGGGAAGAAGTCTTAAGGGAACAAGCTGGAGGTGATGCTACTGAAAACTTTGAGGATGTCGGACACTCTACGGATGCTCGAGAATTGTCCAAAACGTTTATCATTGGAGAGCTGCATCCCGTAAGCACCTTTTGGGGGCCTTGTTTCTCTTTAAGGCTGTGGGTTGACCTTACTCAAATCTATAGACTTGCATATTACAAAATTTAAAAAGGAAAAAAGCAAAAAACAGTTCCTCCTGACTTTAGAAATAAATTGACCAGAAATTTCTTTGTATTTCCCTGGTTGCACTTTTCACCAGCACTTAGAATCCTCTCACTCCAGGGTCACGTCCTGGGGACGGTGCGTCTCAGACTCTGAAGTTTCCCTGAGCAGCAGATTTTAGAAGGTGGGGGTATTGACCCAGAGTAGGGTTATTTTGTGTTTCTTTCTTCTTGGACCAGAATATTTTTCTTAAGAAACTCCTTTCTACTTTCATTAGTTTGAGTATATTTAAATTCTAAAAAATGACTTAGAAATTTAAAAAAAATCAGCTATGTTAAATGAATAAACTCTGCCTTCTGTGAAACCCACACATGGTCCTCAACCTTCCTCACTCTACCTGAGACCTTTGAGAACATCATCTTTGGTGGCAATCCATGGACTGATTTTGCAAAAACGTAGGCTTGTTTTGGCTTTTATGTAAATCCGGGGCTGTAATAGGAATTTAGACCCTTCTGCAGCATTTTAAAATGTACATTTATAACTTCACTCATCTGTCAACCAAAGTTATCAGGAATATAGCTGCAACCTTGGAGATGTGCAAACTTGGAATCTGGAGCAGACCGGTAGATCCCTCTCACCTCTAGAGAGAGCCTGAACCTCTCCTCCGAGCCAGTGCCTTCCTTTCTCCTCCCCCAGCTCTGGGCACGTTACCAGTGGCCAACCTGAAGGGGTGGAGGTGCTCCTAGAAGCGGGCTCCAACAAGAAAAGAACAGCAAATAGCCTCAACCCCAGTGAGCACACCTAGAAACCATATGAAAAACAGCCATACAAAAAGTTTTGTTGCGTCTGATTGATGCTTCTTGTAGTGACTGTGAATAAAGGAAAGGTTGAAGTAGGCTCTTTGGGGAAGCCTGAAGGTAGGAAATCTGTTTCAGAGCAGTTTCCGTTGAGTGGGACGTGGTGTTTTTGGTGGTGGGAGATGGTACTTTGAGAAAGGAAGCTTCATTTATCAGGAAGGTTTATTCATCCACATATTTTCATCTTTATCTTCATATGTCACCAAAGCGAAATAGTTGTATGGTAATTGGAAAGGCCTTCCCTTAAAATGTTCCATCCTGTCCTTATTCTTTCCATTCCAAAGCTTGTGAGGGTAGAGCAGGTGGGATTTCAGGCTGTGACTGCAGCATTTCTGCCTCACCTGTGATCACCCTTTAGAGAGTAGATTATAACCCTATAATTGGGAGACTGCAGGAATTCACTGAGGATACCACACAAATCTCACACACACACACACACACACACACACCCTATCACTCACACACACACACACACACCCTATCACACACACACACACACACACACACACACACACACACACACACACACACACACACACACACACACAC